GAATACATAGAAACAGAATCAACCCAGCTTAACACAACTTCAAGTCAAAATCCAATAACTGTAAGCACATCAACATTTACGAAAACAAATTCTACATATAAAATGCAACCCATGAAGGATTAAACAATTAAGCGGGAAACACCAACTATGAACAGAGACAGCAATAGGTGCAATTATAAAACAATGCACTGAGGAAAAAGCATACCTCAGAAAGAACCTTGAGCATCTGATCAATGTACCAAATTCTCTCCGGGGCAAACCCGAGGCAATAAAAATTATTGTTAATCAACTGGGCAATAATCCAAAGTAATTTCAAATAAATATTTCAGCATCCCTCCACAAACAAAAAGATACCTGAAAATAAAGAGCCAAGAACATAAAAAATATAGAAGATTACATATATTATAGCATACAAAGACTAACAAACAGCAGAATATACTTTTCAACAAGGGAGCAAATCTTGGCAGTAAGAACCCCCTTAAATTCTTGATCTCTTGCTTCCGAATATTCAATTAACTCTTTTGTTAAAGGCTTCACATTGCTTTCACTCGTCAGCAAGTATTACATTAACTCTTTTGTTAAAGGTTTCACATTGCTTTCACTAAAGTCTAGCAAGCAGACTCAATACTCACAAAACGATATTCAGTTTTGTCTCTAAGAAGGTTGACTGCCACTACTATCCTTTTACATGTGATTTAGCTTCAATTATTGAAGGTAAATATTAACCATTTCAATCTATGGAGGCTGTTGCAACAAAAAAAAATGTGCCTAGACAAAGGCAGGTTACAGAACCGATAAAACAAATGAAACAACAATGGAGCACCACAAGCATATCATGTTTGGACATTTCAACAAACACATGGTAGCCTCTAACAAACACACGAAGAAATGATCAAATTAAAGGCAAAAAAGGGGTGACCTAGCTTTACCCACAATAAATTGAACATGATTATGGAAATAAAAAAGTAAAAATTTCGACTATATCTGGCCCGAGAAAGAATCAGAGTTGAGAGAAGAAAAAAATGAGCTCGAAGAACGTTGAACGAGAGCCCCCATTACCGTTCGCGAACGTCAAAACTAAGATTAGGGGTGACCTAGCTTTACCCACAATAAATCGAACATGATTACGGAAATAAAAAAGTAAAAATTCAACTATACCTGGCCTGAGAAAGAATCAGGGTTGATAGAAGAAAAAAAGGAGCTAGAAGAACGTTGAAGGAGAGCCCCCATTGACGTTCGTAGCTTTCTCGAGAAAAACCATAAAGGAAAAGAGGCAAAGTTGAAAGATCCTAATTTACCCTACGGGTTCCAAAAGACTTGCGGCGTTTGAATTAAAAAAGTGGGATCGGTATGAAGGGTAGGGAGATAAATTTTTTAATATTTGCTGTGTTTTTAAACCAAAACTTGTTAAAGCACTGAACTATTGCCACGTTATATAATAAAAAAAAACATAAACATACCAAATTATTACCGCGTTTATTAAAAAAAAGCTGCTAAAGTATTATTTTGTTGTGGTGTTTGAAAACGTCACTATAAATGAATTCTATACATTTGTATAAAAAACGCTACTAAAATACTATTTTGTAACATCATTCATTGAAAAAATCCACCCTATTATGGTGTTTTGTATAAAAATACCGCTAAACTTATCATTCTGTAGCATTTAGAATGTAAAAGCCGCTATATATTTAAACTTAGTGGGGTTTATCCTCAAAACGCCATGCCACAATTTTGTTGTAGTGTAGAAGCCAAGGAACAAAATGAACAAACAAAATACCGAAAGAAAAATATCAACAAAGACAGATTCTGCACCAGACATGTGAGTTGTTTTCTAGAAATTAATGCGTGTACAATATTGTATGGATGGGAAAAACTTTCCAATAGCATACATTTGTTTGTTAGATGAATTCATAGAATTTTGAGCAGATTCCTCAGGCAGGAGGTTCCATCAGAGATGGATTGGACCTACTCAAGCAGGCAAACACCATGGTACATTTGACTATAAACAAAGTTTAGATCAAAATTTCAGAATACATGAAAACAGATTAAGAGCTAAGACCTCCATGATGGGATGAGTATGACACAAAATTAAAGAAAGGACAGCTTCAGCTTAAATTTGAGAGAGTTAAGATTAAGTGAATGTTTGTAAGTGACAACTTAAGGCAACAATGGCAGTTAAAATTTAAAATCATAAACCTGACACATATTGATGAAAACTGATGTATGCTGCAATGTATAAACTCAGCTTAATTCAAACAGCTATTTATTTATTCCGAGAATCGTTTTTCTGATATATGAAAGAAGATTGAGGAAAAATAAAGAAACTATCAAATCTACTTTAGTTATTAGTTATCACTTCCTTCTGATCTTGATCAACAGCAAGATTAAGATGATATTAATCCGCTGATCCAAACTAACAACAAAATCTTATGCTAGAAAATTCCTTTTAAACATCTACTGATTTAACCCTAATTGTAAACCAAATCAAATAGTTTCTCAACTCCAACATGATATATTGTTCGAAGCACGAAACATAAAGAATAAAAATCAGCATCTAGATTAAAGAAAAAAAAGACATTCGTAATTACAAATATATATATATATATATATATATATATATAAATGTAAATGTCAATACGTAGCCTTATTTCTTAGCTATTGCTTAGTGTATAAAATTAAACATTTGATGAAAATTCATCTTATTTTAATTATATTTTCAGTATTATATTTGTATTTGTATCAACACATTATCGAGTGCGTTATCATATATATGAAGTCAAAGAAGACGGCAAAGGTCCATGAGATAACATTGAATATTGCCTTCAGTCAATAAAATGCACAAATGTTATATACAATATGTAATTTAAATGGATTTTGGAACATGCGTTTTAGATAAATTATTATTTACATTGACAATAATAACAAGTATGAGCATGAATCTTAGTGATTTTGGTAGTAAATGAATTGTTATTAATTTTTAAAGCTTCGAGTTCGAACACCAAAAATACCAGAGTACAAACGTTCATTGTCAAAAAATTTAGAGTTATCTTTGAATGACCTCAGATTTATATAAAAAAAACTAGTATGCTAAACTTACCTCATACTTATAACAACTATCCTTCAAATTGTTTATAAATATATCACTTTATATATTGACTGATGCATGATCCAACGTTTGGTATTGCATCTTTTTCATTGTTTTTCTTTCGTAAAAAAAATAATAATTCATTTTGGAATTTATTCAAAGGGAAAAACTCTGAATGCTGAAGGAAAATATGCACCAAATTTATTTTCCATTTAAATATCAACATCATCGGGGTTGTCTCTGGTAGGACTGTAAATGAGACGAGACAGATCGCGAGCTATCCGATATCGACTCGATCAAGGCTCGATAAATACTCGGATCGAATGGACTTGACCCGAGCTCGACTCGAGTTCTTAAAGAGCCGAAACGAGCTACTCGATATTCGACTCGAAAAGCTCGTGAGCAGCTTGAAAAATATTATATTATAATTTTAGATTTTTTAAAATTACATTATAAAAATTTATTAAAAATACATTATTTATAATTATAAAATTTTAAAAATATATTAAAAATTCTTTAATACAACTACCCTCAAATTTTAATTTTTTAATTAGCAACCCAAGTCCAATTGTTACATTTTATATTACTAAAAGAAAAATAAAAGTCCATTTAATTAAGAACATGTTAGATTATACCCTAAACCCTAAACCCTAAACCCTAAACCCTAAGCCTTAAGCGCTAAACCCTAAATCCTAAGCCTTAAATACTAAACCCTAAACCCTTAATCCGATTATGTGTTAGGGTACTAAAAGAAAAATAAAAGCTCATTTAATCAAGCACATGTTAGATTACACCCTAAACCCTAAACCCTAAACTCTAAACCCTAAATCTCAAACCCTAAACCCTAAACTATAAACCCTAAGTCCTAAGCCCTAAATCCTAAACCCTTAATCTGATTATGTGATCGGGTTAAGTTATGCACATGAATGTAACATACAAATTATGCAAAATGAAATTAACAAGGGTTTATATGTAAATAAACTAATAAATCACACTTGGTTAAATCAATCAATAGGTCCATTATCAAAACAAACGATGATCAAAACATAAAATAAAAATAAATTAACAACACGAATCATAAAAACGTAAACCTTGATTAATGACGAAATCAGAAGATTACAAATATAACATGTCCTAAAATGCTAATACTCCATTTCTAAAACACGGGCTACCCCTAGTCCTCGAAGCGCTGCCGTTTTGGTACTGCTTAAAGCTACGTCGGGTTATTGAAACTGGGATGCAGTTGAAACACAACATGCTTTATCACTGCTCCAACTCAGCCTGGTCTCATCAAAGCTTGGCTTAATCAACTCAAAACATGAAATGTTAACGGGTACATTGTTGCTTCCAACCAACCATATGCAGTAACAAGCGAATTCCTAAGAAACGAGAAACAGATCATCAATATAAAACACCTTCATTATTTTTTGCTCACATTTATCGAAGCTAAGCATCTAGCAAGGATTCTTTCTGCTCAAGAAGAAGCAACATAACTTTCTTTATACTTAACCCAAAAGCAACTTCAGTTTCGAAAAAGAAACATAAGAGAATCTAAAAGAGCCACGTAATCCAAAAAGAAGAACTCACCTCCTCGATCGATTTAGCGGTCATTGCAGAAAAAGGAAATGAGCAACAAAATACTCTTATTGACAGAAAATTTCAAGAAAAGCATATGATTTATTGATTGATCTTGAATGCAACTCGAAGTTTATAAATCTAAATATTTACAGAGCATAAAGGAGAGGAAGAAAGTAAAAGATGCTCCATGGCTTGGAAGACAAGGTGGCGCTATTGCGCAGAAAATGCTCTTTGTTAGTCCAAAACCTTTTGAATTTATATCCCACACCAGACGCTGAAGAGAGTTAGAGCGTTGTAGAGCAGTTATAAAAGGAGTGGACTAACGCCGGTGTTAAGTATATCTTTCTTGGCCTTTTGGCGAAGATCAAGTGTAGTATGTGTTTATTAGCTTAATATCTGATACGCAGGCTAATGGCTCATACGATATTAAATTTATATTTTGAGGGTGAGAACCTTTCATAGTAGCTTGCTTCAGGGGGAGGATCAAGCTCAGAAACGAGCTTGAATCGAGCTCGAGTTTCAATCGAGCTCTTGAATTTTTTTTGGTCCGAGCCTTTTCAAGTTCGAGTCGAGTTTCAATATTATCTTTCGCGTTCGAGTCGAGCTTGAAAATTTTAGGCTCGTGAGTTTTCAAGTCGAGTTGAGCCTACATTTAAAGTTTTCGAGTTCGAGTCGAGCTCGGCAATACTCGAGCTTGACTCGGCTCGTTTACACCCCTAGTCTCAGGAAAGGTGGACTAATATACAGTTAATATACGGCGTGACCATAAACATAAAGAAATATTTAAAAATTTGGCAACCGACAAACTTAGCTTATCGGTAGGTATCGATAACTTGCACAGAAGTATCGATACATAACAATATAACATGTTGAAGTTTGATAAAACCAGTTTCAATTTGACAATGAGAAACTGTATATGTTGAAATTTGTATCGATACTTTTCTAAGTATATGCACCAAATTATCATTACTTCAGAAATTTAAAAGAATTACAATAATAGCACCTAGAAAGTATCGATACCTTAGAAACATGTATCGATACATGACAATATAATAAGTTAAAATTTGACAAAACCAATTTCAATATGACAAAACCGGTAAAGTACTACCGAATATGTTGAAGGTAAACTTAGCTTATCGATAGGCATCGATACTTACACACATGTATTAGTACATAACAATATAACATGTTGAAGTTTGAAAAAACCAGTTTCAGTTTGACAAAATCGGTAGAGATACCGAAATTGTTGAAATGTATATACTTTTCTAAGTATATGCACCAAAGTATCGGTATTTTAGGAATTTAAAATAATTGCAATAATAGCGCCTTGAAAGTATCGATACCTTAGAAAAATGTATCGATACATGACAATATAATAGGTTAAAATTTGACAAAATCGATTTCAATATGACAAAACCGGTAAAGTGATACCGGATATGTTGAAGGTATCGATACTTTTATAAGTATATGTATCATAGTATCGTTACTTTAGGAATTGAAAAGAAAATAAAAAAATGAATACCTATAGAAAGTATCGATACCTTAAACGTTTTTGAAATCGTAGTTATTTGTTTGTTACTGCAGTCGAATCGAAAAGTACGTTGTTGAAACCCTAGTTTTTTAGTATTAGAGTAATTAGAAATAGGGGATAGATATATGGGTTTACGATTTTCGAAGTAAAGAAGCATCTGAGACCGATTACATGTAGAAAATGATATTCTAGGAAGAAAATAAAAATCGATACTTTTATATAATATTATAGTTAGAAAATGATATTGTAGGTTGTATAAATGTACTGATACTTTCCTGAGACAACCCCAACACTTATAGTAGAGAGTATTCCCATTCTTTTAAAGGAACCCCTAGTTTTTTAGTATTATAATATTTAAAAATAGAGATTAGGGTTTATGGGTTTGGGGTTTTTGAAGTAAAGAAGGATTTATGACCAATTACAGTTAGAAAGTGATATTCTAGGTAGAAAATAAATATCGATACTTTTATATAATATTATAGGTAGAAAATGATATTGTAGGTTGTATAAATGTACTGATACTTGTAGTAGAAAGTATTTTCATTCCGTTGAAGGAAACCATTTTACTGTAATTTTAGTTATCGATACTTGTATATTGAATAAACTGTATGTAACTTGTATTTGATTTGATTTGAGTTAATTTAATGCTTGACTGTTTGTAAACTGATATATGAAGGGAAAATGAAGTCAATGGATCTTACAATTATTGCTCGCGAAGATGACATTGAAATGGAGTCTGAGAGTATCAACAATGAAGTAAATCGAAAGCAAGCACTGGGTGTATATATGTACTTCTAGTAAGTATCAATGTATTTGTGTAATTGTTGTTGACATGGTAATTGGATTAAAGTATTTAAATACTTTAAATTGATTACAAATGTTAAATGTTGACAATATGATTGAATGCCAAAGGATGAAGGAAGTTGGTAATCATGTTGACTGCATAGCCAATAAAACTCGGAGGGCAGGGTCCAAATGGTAAGATAGGAATTTGTTGATGTAATAAAGACTTTTGCCTTGTATTCGGTTCTTGTGACTGGCGTACGAGCATGTTGACGATCAACAATATTGACTTTGGATACTTGAAACCTTTCTTTTGAACAACAAAATTCTTGTGTCTTCACATTCCATTCCCTATCAAGGCGTGTTGTTCCCCGACGTGCACTAAAACCATGTTTCCATGCGTATTCCTTGTAAAAGTCCCAAGCTTCCTCACGTGAAGAGAAGAGCTGACCAACCAATCTTCGAAATTGTTAACAATCTCAGGCATAACATTGATCGTGTACTTCACAAACTACCTTTATTGTGTGACCACTTTATATTCATTTGGGTAAGATGAATGTCATTATACTTTGCTTACTTTTATTTGTTCATGATTCCTACAAATTTATGTTCGACTGTCTGTATAAACATTACCAAGGAAAGCGCAAAAAAAAAAATAGCGTTACCTACTATAAAGATCTCCATGATGTTTGGAATGCGTTTCCTCAATTTAACCCGGGAAATACACTGTTGGTCGATGATTCAGCGGAAAAAATGATTTATAATCCGGTAAGTTATATGTTTGCCATTTTTTTTCTGTTAAGATATATGTTCATACATTGGTTGATTAACAATAATTTATGTATTTATATAGCAATACAATTACATATGTCTAAATCCCTTTGACGCTTCATATTGGGAGGACAATGATTTAGATATGACAAAAATTTATGTCTGCTTATACGAAATTAGTTTCTTATTAGTAAATTTACATGATTTGTTTGTTAATTGCAATTATTTATATATGTCCTTAGCAAAAGGCAGAAAAATACGCAAGTATTTGGAAAATTTTTCGAAAACGCCTAATGTTATGAACTTTCTCAGAAATAACCTTTTTTATTCGGATTAATTTTGTTGTGGGTAGACTATTAGAACATTGTTATATATAACAATGTTTTGTACGAATGTTTTGTTTACATATATTGTGTGTATATTTTCATTCCATACACATAATGTACTACTTTCAATTTAAATATACTCAAACATATAAAACAAAAATTGTGTATTTTAATATTCCAAAATAGAACATGTGACTTACACAATAAATATTCCATTCGGATGGGGCAATGTAAAGAATACAATCTAACTATCTCGTCTTGTCTTCCATGTGACTGCTTTATTTTCATGAATTAACTCAGCTTTGAACTGAATCAGTATTGTCTTTCCATGCTTTTTGGCTGATAACACATTTTACTTGAAAATAAGAATCATTTATGCAGTTTTCAATTTCAATTTGAGATTGAATTTCAATTTTAAATTGAGTTTGAATTTTAATTTCAATTGGCTCCGCTATAAATATGAGTTGGATCCTTTGTTCCCTTCAAACAACAACATGCTCATTGCATCGGGAGGTAACATCAAATGCCATTTGTAAGGTAACAACAACCTTTTTCTTTCCTTATTAACTTAGACAATTTTGATGTTATCGTTGATTAATCATGATTTCCATTGTTTTTTTTTTCAACGTGAAACATGAGGGAAATCCCGACCATCATAATTTTGAGGAACAAGCTGAGAGATTGGATATATGAAGAATACTTTTAAGATATTATCCATTTCAGCCAGCTCATAAAGATATGATAACCCTAAACTAAAATCGTCAAAGAGAAACATACTTGATGTAGAAGCATATGCAGATTTAAAATCTCGACGGTGATGCATTTGGTTCTCAAACAGTTAAAGCGACAAAAACGTTTCATACTTATGATCTGGGTCGTATACGGGAAATGTAACAAAGAGAAAATAAAAATCTTGAGAATTGAGGGCTACAACTTGTAATAATAATAAAAAGAATTTAAGGATACACATGTATAAAATATCGATACTTAGCTAAATTAACAATGTAAACAGTAAAAGTCTACCAATGTAATGATAATAGGTGTAGATGACAAGTATCACAACTTGTCATTTACAGTTATTTTCATTATACCGGAACACTTTTATCCATTTACATTGTTAATTTACCTATTACTTTAAAGTAATAGATTTCGAAATGATAAGATATGATAACCCTAAATCAAAACCGTCAAAGAGAAACATATCTGATGTAGAAGCAGAATCATATTTAAAATCTCAACGATGATGCATTTGGTTCTCAAACAGTTAAAGCGTCAAAATGTTTCGAACTTATGATCTGGGTGGTATACGGGAAATACAACAAAGTGCAACTAAAAATACCGAGAATTAAGGGCTACAACTTGTAATAATAATAAAAAGAATTTAAGGATACACATGTATAAAGTATTGATACTTATCCAAAGTATCACAACTTGTCATTTACGGTTATTTTCATTATACTGGAACACTTTTATCCGTTTACATTGTTAATTTACCTATTACTTTAAAGTAATATGTTTCAAAATTCCAAGTACATGTACTTCTGATTTACGTGTGTATCTTCTATTCTTTAACATTATTATTAAAAGATGTACCGTTCAATTCTCGACAATTTTGGTTGCATTTCGTTGCATTTCCCATGTAGCACCCAAATCATAAGTCTGATATGCTTCAGAAGCCTTTAAATGTTTGAGAACCAAACGCATCGCCTTCGAGATTTTAATTATGCAGCTACTTATACATCAACTTTGTTTCTCTTAGACAGTTTCAGTTTACGGTTATCCTATCTTCATGAGCTGGATGAAATGGATACTATCTGGAAGGCATCCTTCACATATTAAATCTTCCAGCTTGTTCCTCAAAACTATGATGGTCGATATTTTCCTCGCGTTTCATATTGGTTGATTGCTTCGAATATATCACGACATTTGATCTCCGAAGAGTTGTTGGTTGATTGGTCGTGATTTTATATCCATACTTATGTTCTGTATCGATACCCATATTACACGTATCTATATTTTATATTTGAGGATTGTTTAAATATCAATACTAGTTATTAAAGTATTGTACACCTACTCCAAATTTTAGTATGTTTGTACAACAATCTGCATGCAAATGTATTGATAC